TTGTGTATTTTCTATGTTATGAGGTGTGTGTGATCTATGTCGTGTATCTCTGACACTCACCCTGCCATTTCACCCTGCAGAATGTTGGTGGTGGCACAGCAGTGGCCCAGGTACGTGCCACCGATCGGGACATTGGCCTCAACAGTGTCCTCTCCTACTACATCACCCGTGGGAATGAGGACCTGACTTTCCGCATGGACCGTGTCACCGGCGAGATTGCCACCCGGCCCTCCCCACCAGACCGTGAGCGGCAGAGCTTCTACAGCCTGGTGGTCACTGTTGAGGATGAGGGCAACCCCTCCCTGTCGGTGAGCCACCAAAATGTGCTTTCCAAGGGGATGGAGCTGGGCAGCACTCTGGACAGTGAGCTTAGATACTGAGTGTGGAAAGGTGGAACAGGCACAGGGTGCGGTGTTTTGGTGATCTGGCCATTTGGGTTGTGACTTAGGGTCCAAATCTGCTGAGTATAGGTTTGGTTCAGAGCCTTCTTTAGCACCTGGTCCTGCAGGACCATCTCTTCCAGTCGCTTGGGGAGCTGCTGTCTCCCATCTGTAAATGCCATAATTATCATGAGCATCCTAATGGGCAAGTGTGCTGGCGGCTGCAGGATTTGTCCTGCCCACCAGTTTCTCACACTCAGAGTCTGAAAGGTCTCTGGATGTTGCTCACCCATCTCAGGGCAGGGGGTCACTGGATCAGCATCTGAACCAGCTCACCGTGTGTCTGCTCTAGTGCCGGCAAATGAGAAGAGCTCCAGTAATTACTGCTGTTGTGAGGCTTGGGCAGCTTGTTGGTCATGTTGCTGCCACCTGGAGTGCCCTGCCTATGGTGAGCAGGATTTGAGCTTGCATATGGGGCCCGATATGACATCCTGTCCATCATACTTTGTTCTGGGGATGTGGCCACCTTGCTTTGTGGTTACCAGCCTGCAGTAGTGCCCGGAAACTCAGTTTGCTGCAGCCTGGCTTTTCTCACTCACGCATTCCCTGCTCCACAGGTAACAAGTTTCATTATTTGGGCCTCTAAAGAGGACTCTGGCCTGGGAGGGTCAAATGGGCAAATAATATTTGGGGCATTTTCCAGCCCTGAGTACCTCCTAACCCCACAGCTCTGCGGGGATGTGAGCAAGCAACTGTGTGTAGAAGGCAAGCCCAAATTGTGAGATGGGGAGGCGTGACACCCTGCATGACACCCTGCCATCCTTCCTCTCCCCAGCCCCTACCTGCTATCTCTTGCAATCTCTCTGATCTCCCAGCAGAGCTCTTGCTGCAAAGCCCTGCTGTATATTTTGAGGAAACTGGTTGCAAACAGCAGTGTGAACTGGGGCTTGCAATTCTCACTTTAGGCTTTGCACTCTCGACTGCTCCCTCCCAGGTAGTTCACACACTTTCTTGCGCATCGCCATCTTTTTCTTAAGCCAGGCTGCCACTGTGGCTTAAATCTAGTCAGTCTCTTCCCCCAGAATGAGGGAAGGCAGCTTTGTGTAACTGCAGCACCCGATAACTGCTAGCTCCTCCTTGTCCCCATCGCCCCAGCACCATAGGAACATTGGTGATGCTCCTGTTGTGAGGAATGCCGTGTGCTAAACTGGCAAATCCCATTGCTATGGCAATGCCCTCTTCCCTTCCTGGTGCCAGAGAGGTCAAGTGACACAGCTTATCAATTCACACTGGTGCAAAGCAGTGTCCCAGCAGCCTCGCTTGTCCTCAGGGTTTCTGCTGCATGACCACCATATCACCGGTGAAAGTTATGCCAGCAGCAACAATAAAAATCCTGCCACGCTGAAGCAAAACAAAGTGTCCAGTGACCTGATTCCTGAGTGGAAAGAAGTTTCGGCCTATTTCAGAGCTTGAGGATACTTAGGTCTTGTGAAAGGCTGTCCTGCACGTCACTTGGGGACTGCTGGCCTCATGCCTGGATCATGAAATTATGTCTGTCAGGAGTTTGTCGTCTACTTCGGTTTCACAAGTCTGGGCTGATGCAATGATGCACAAAAGGAGATTATTGTCTATAATTTATACGTGTACTTCACGGCCTTCTGAGTATGGGAGAGGCAGAGGAGACAGAGCTGGAAGAGCACTTGGAAGTCCTGGGCTGATCTCTGATATCCAGGACAGCAAGGGTGCATGGAAGACTGGCCATCCTCTTGGCCAGTCTAGAAATGCAGGGGAGAAAGGCTAAAAATGCTGATGATAAAAGGAAAGCATTTACCCCAACAAGCACTGCAGGAAAGAAATCCTTCACAAGCTGGTGAGCTGCAACGGAAGGTCCTGGTGTCATTACATGGAAATTGCAGGAGTCACTCAAGCTCTGTTTGACACTGGTGCAAACCTGCAGCTGCACCTCCCCAAGGGCTGGCCCTGCTCCAGAGTCTTCAGGATGCTTCTGGCAGCAGAAAGATGCCTGGCCAAGGGAGCTGCATCAACCACATGTGCTGGAGCTGAACTCCTCCTGATATCCACAGACCCCAAGCACTGGTAGTGCCCTGAGTCAGGGTGGATCCGTAAAGCTGCTCAGATGCCTATCTCACAGCCACCCTGATCCAGGGCTGCTTCAGCCTCTGCAGTTTCTGTTCCTGTCAACCCACTCCAAAACAAGAGTTCAGGTGAAGCACTGCGGCTCCTCACTCTCCTCATGAGCAAAGTCCCAGGTGCTGATGCAGTGGAAAACAGCCAGCAGCACAGCACTAGCTCAGTGTGTGTTCCCAAGCCAGGCACTCACAAGAGCTGGGGTACCCATCAAGGTCCTTAAGGGCATCTTGCTGGGTCACCTTAACCATGAGCATCCTCCTCAAAGGTGCAGCACCATGCCATCTTCTCCACCATTGTTGGGGCCAAGGTGGAGTGCCAGGACCCAGTGTGCCAAGGCTCCTGCTGAATACCTGCAAGGCCATTGCCTCTCTCCCGTAAAAGTCTAGTTTTCCTTCTGACAAGATGACCAGGTAGGAAACGGTCCCTGATGCCACTTAGTGCCCTGATCTGCTGCATCGATGCCTCTTGGCAGAGAACATGGCTGCTCATCTCACCTCTGCCTGCCCACCACAGCTGCCTGCAGCATAGGACATACCAAAGCACGACCCCTGCAACACAGGGAGAACTCTGTTTCCAGCAAAGCTTTTTTCTGTCATCAAACAGTGCATTCATTAGCAAATGGACTAGGGAAGTGATTGTTCCCCTGTACCTGACACTGTGAGGCCGTACCTCAAATACTGTGTTCAGTTTTGGGCCCTTCTCTAGAAGAAAGACACTGAGGTGCTGGAGTGGGTCCAGAAAATGGCAACAAAGCTGATGAAAGGTCTGGAGCACAAGTCTTCTGGGGAGCAGCTGGGGGAACTGGGGTTGTTTAGTCTGGAGGAAAGGAGGCTTGGGAGGGGACCTTATCACTCTCTACAGCTACCTGAGAGGAGGTTGTAGTGGGGTGGGGGTCAGTCTCTTCTCCCAGGTGACAAGTGATAGGACAAGAGGCAACAGCCTCAAGCTGCACGAGGGGAGGTTTAGATTGAATATTAGGAACAATGTCTTCACTGAAAGGGTTGTCAAGCATTGGAACAGGCTGCCCAGGGCAGTGGTGGAATCACTGTCCCTGCAGGTATATAAAAGATGTGTAGATAAGCTTATGCTTATATGATTTAGTGGTGGACTTGGCAGTGATAGGTTAATGTTTGGAATTGATCTTAAAGGTGCTTTGCAACCTGAATGGGTCTATGATTTTGTGATGATTCTGTGTCTTGGAGAGGGTTTCAAAGCAGTTAGGGCGCACAGGCAGGCAGATCCCCTGTGTGCCTTTCCAGCTGCAGCTGCTGGACAGGGAGAGGGAAGAGCCAGAGGCACTGGGCAAGCTTCCCCAGCAAAGCCAGGAAAGGGGCTGAGCTGTGGCTGGCAGTAAAGCACAAGTCCTGTGCTCAGAAAGTTATGTCTGCAAGGTGGGGCATTGGTGCTGGCTTCTTTATTCCTCTGCCTGCGGCCAGACCTTCTTGAAGTTCCTCATGCTGTAACCAGCACGGGATTAATCAAATCCTGCAGCAGGCCGGGGTGTCCCCTCCCCATGCAGAGGCAAATGCTGCTTCCTGCAGCCACGTAGTATGAAAATCCAGTGTGCTGCCTGGGATGCTCTGCCCGGGCATGCTGCCTGGTGCACCTATTGCTCAGGTCTGACACTGTTTTGATGTGACTAATGTTTATGTTTGTCTAGTGGAAGTTTCCCCCCAACTTTACAACAGAAGCAACAGAAAACAAAACAAACACAGAAACACACCCTTCGAGTAACAGTGTCTACCACAAAGTTTTATGTCCTCGCCAGGGGTTGAGTCATGCTGGAGCCTGACCCACCGATTCTTTTGGATAGGCAATGCCAGGGTGCTGTGTTCAGGCAGAGGATGCTGGAAGTGCACCCGCATCCCATGTGGCATTGCAGGGTTCTTCATCGTGTCTGAAAGCAGTGGCCCCAGGAATGTGTGCTTTGGCCACGCTGGCCCCAGGAGGATGAGGGGAAGCCAGCCAGAGCATTCCCCACTGCATGCTCCTATGCCTCTGCCTCTGCAAGGGCTCTCAGCCATGTCACAGGAGCATCCTCCTACACCCTCCCAATAAACTTTCTAATTTACAAGCATTTAAAAAAAAAAACCAAAAACATAAACATCCTTTTTTTTTTTTCTTTTAATCAGCACTGATAATGAAAGAAAGATAAATTCCCCTGATCCCAAGCTGAGGATAAAATTGCAGCAGAAATAAGGCTTCTCCCTACATGTGTCCAGCTGGAAAGGCTGCAGCCTTGCATGTCCGTAACCATCTCAAAAGGGTGGTAGGGAAGGAGGGTTCCATCAGCAGCACAGAGCCTCTCCCCTTCCTGTTTTGCAAAGAAAAAGGTAGTACAAGGTTGGCCAGTGACCTTGTTTTATCTCATGGTGGATAAAGTACTTTACCATCCGCTCCCAGAGAGGATGTTCAAAGATGCAGAATCAGGTTCATATTGCAGAGCTTAAACCCTGGCAATAATTTAAGTCCTTGTGGAGGTTTGTGGGTGCAGGTCATCCTTCCTTCCCCACATCCCCAGTTATCAGCTAGTCTGTAAAACGTGAGCAGTACAAAGCCATGCTCTTCTCCATAGAAGTAGTTAAAAACTGAAATCCAGGCAAGAGAGGTTCACTTCCAGCCCCAGGGCAGAGCCAGGACAGGAGGTGAGGTCTGGGCTCCTGCTCCCAGCTTCACTGTGTAAGGCTTTGCTGCCCATGGCCATGCTGCCCTCCGCAGGGTCCCAGCTGGGGGCATGGCGCAGTGGCTGCTGGGCCTCTCCCAGCTGCGACTGGGGGATGTGGTTTCCTCCGGGGTCTTTACTCTTTCAAGGAATTTGGTGAGTCAGGAACAGGATCTGGAAAAGGACAGACTAGGGTATTAGTCCAGCTGAGAGCTGTGGGGATCTGTTTCAGCAAGCAGCGAAACTCTGCTTTTGCATGGAAAACAGACTTTTGAGTCCTTCCCATCTTCAAATTCCTGGGACCTGATGTCCCACATGATGCAAAGTTTGCAGCCAATATTTAACATTCCCCCCCTTTCCCATTCATCTCCCTGGCTGCCCCTTTTCTTCCCACCCCTCCTGCCATGGCCTCCATGGGGGCTCAGGATTGCCTGTCACTCACCCAGCGATGGGAAGAAGCAGTCCCCAGGGCCAGGGGGAGACAGGGGGGTGCCGGGCTCGGAGAGCAGGTGCCGGCCAGACTCGGAGGGCTGCCGGCTGGCCATGTAGGAGAGCTGGGGTCGAGGCCGTGGCTCCATGCTGGCTGAGGGGACCGCCTCAAAGACAGGGTTCTCAATGCCCTGGGCATTGCTGGAGGAGAGGAGAGGAGAGGATGTGAGAGGTGAGGATTTGCGTCTTTATTTCAGGAGCCTTTTTTATCCCAGGGGATAAAGCTGAGCGCCTGGAACAACAGGCAGGGCAGGGAGTAGGTTGAGGCAGTGGCACCTCAGGTGAGAGCAAGCAGGAAGCCTGGTGCAGAGGGGGAAGCTTAGCTGAAAGGCACCCTGGTTTCAAGTTCTGGAGCGTGGGAAGATGTGTGCCCTTGGCACAGGCAAAAAGAAAGGAGGCACTTCCCATTCAAAGGAAGTGAAGAGGAACAGTGGCTGCCTGGAAAAGGGCAGGATTCCAGGTATAGGTACCGCCAGCATCCCCTTTGTCCTAGTGGGCTGAGGATACATGCCAGCTTCAAGGGGAGGAGAGGACAGGGCAAAACCCTTGCAAGGTCCAGGCTGCAGGCAGAGGGGTGTGCAAGGAGGTTGAGGGGAGCTGGAAGCACATGGGTTTCCTCACCTCTCCATCCTGACAAGCTCGTGAGCACCTGCCAAAGACAAAACAGTTGGTGTGAGTGCTGGCAGCATGGATCCAGGGTCAAACCCAGACCCACTGGCAGAACTTTCTGGTGGTCCTATCCATATCCAATTCCTCCTTTCTCTACATCCTTCACACCCTTTCCCCCTTCTTTTAGCATCAGCCCCTTCTTTGCTCCCAAATCTCCTTCTGCAATCTCCCACCTTGTTCACTCCCCAGCCTGGCCTCCTCCTGGCCTGAAACCACAGCCTGTGAAGGAGGGGGAAGGAGGTACTTATGCCAATGCACAGGGTGAGGTGAGTGCAGTGCAGCATCTGTATTGCAGCCTGGTCCTGCTCGTGCCCGGATGCACCCACCACCTGCCGGTGACACCCTCCTAGGGCTCTGCAAAATGCCACCCCAGCATTTGGTTGCCCCTGTGTTTGTCCAGGCAGCACCCTGTTACTGATCCCCTCACCCCTTTTGCCACAGCCGCAGCAGATCCTGCAGGCTGTGTTACTCAGCTGTGCTGGATGTCTGCATGGAAAGCATCCTGAGCCGAGATGCACAAGATTTGGCCCAGACTGTGCTGGTGGAAAGCACCTGGTAAAAATAACCTGTAGCTAACCTAGTCCAAGACACCCAGAAGCAAATGTCCCTGGGAATTTGCTGTCCTTCTTGGATTAAATAGCATCCCGGTGATGCTTTGCAGCATAGGATGGAAGCTGCGTCCCAGCCACAGCAAAATGGGTGCATGAAGGCATGTGGCTAGTCTTTTCAGCCTGAGATGGATGTTGAAAGCACAGTTCCCGTTCTTGTGCCGGCATCACACCCACTGCTGCTGTAAAACCCACTTCTCCAAAGGGTTTGCTCAACGCCACGTAGCCGCCCACTGAGCTTGGTGAGAGAACCCACAGGGCCCCTGGCTTGCCCAAGGCCTGATGAAATGGCTCTGCTGGTTAAGGTGGTGCCCCTTTCTGCTTAATTACTGAAATCACTGGGAGCCAAGCATGGGCAGGAGCTGGCAGCATCTTGGAACCATCTGTTTTTCTAGGGCTGTGTCAGTGTGGGGAGAGCTGGCTTGCTGCAGTCCTATTGCCTTAGACATGTAAGGGGTCTTTGTAATAAGGAGGAGAGAAAAAGCATGAATAGTGCTTTTTTAATCACTTAGAAGGCAAAGCTTCTATTTCAGATGTATGGTGGAAGGACAGGTGAGTAAATGAGCCAGCTCTTGCAGGGGATGGGGAAGAAAGGGCTTAGCAGGGAGGGGGCCTGGCAGCATCTTTGCAGTCTCCCTGGGTGCCTTGCAGGCATCACAGTTACCCCTCCTATCCCACACTCCTCACCAGCAGCCTGCAGACATGGCTGGCCCTTCCAAGAACAGCTTTGCAGGAGGCATCTGGCAGGGACCTCTCTTTGGACCACCTTAAACTGCGCTCATGGACAGCTGAACCAGCTGATCCCAGTGGGACACATCCCATCCCATAAAGGCCACGCTGACACAGCCCAGGAGATGAGACGGGTGTCCTTGCAGGCAGCTGGCAAGGGGAGGGTACGTACGTCTGTTGCTGACAGCTTGTCTCTGCTTGTAAATCAGGAGCAAGATGAGGGGCAGGCAGAGGATGCCCACGATGCAGGCGCCTGTTGCCAGTGCAGCGGCTGTGATGTCTGCAACACAAGAGGGCAGAGCTGGAGTGCGTGATAGAGAGAATTCACCTTACACTGCCGTGGTTTCCTCAAGCCATACCAGAAGCATGGGGCAGGACTGGCATTGCCCCTGGTGCTATGAGGCTTTAACACACATGGGTGGTCCATTCCTAGCCGGGATTCATGTTCGGATGCATTGCTGGTTCCGAAGATAAGCCCTGAGGCATCAGTTTTGGACCTTTACCAAAATCCTCCATTGCTGGAGGACATCCCAAGGTCTCTCTTTGTTCTTCTAGATATGAGGAGAGAAGCAGGAGCCCTGATAAAGCCCTTTGAAGTCAGCAGAAAGGCTCCCAGCAATTTCAAAGAGTGCTGATTTCAACCCGTGGCCAGCTTGTCAAAATCAGGCTGCCTCAAAGTACTCAGGCATCAAAGGGCTTGCTACCCAAGCAGTACTACCCATAGAGGCTCCCCAGAAAGGCTGGCAGCCTTACAGGCATGTCTGTGGCCATCAAGGTCCAAGTGGGATGGCAGAGTCAAGGGCTGCCTAAATCAAGAGCAAATTCAACTCAAGCCTTTCTCTTGCACATCCATGTGGGGAAGCAACTTCTTGCTCCATGTGTGCGGTCTGGAGTGGGGGTAGATGTTTCCCCTTTTCTTTTTTGCCTGGCAGGTCAGGGTGTCCCAGTGCTGAGGGGTTGAGGCAGAAACTGCTACCCATGGGGAGCAGGGGGCAGTTTCCCATGGCTGGGCTGGCCTTAACCGTGCTGCAAACCAATTTTAGCAATATCTGCCCATTCTTTACCCCAGCAAACAGGGGCAGACAGAGCAACCCTCTGAGGCATCACCTGCCTAGGCATCTTCAGCATTTTGACATTGTCTGTGCACTCAAACAAGATTTGGATTTCCCCTGCTGGAGCATCTCTGCTTAGGGTGAGGGGGCATGGGCTTGTGATGGTGGCAGGGAGTTGCAAGAGGTTCCTGCAACTCTTTACCTTTTTGTCCCTGCCCATCTGCTCATGGCAGCAGCCACTAAATCCCCAACCATGTTTTGCAGGGCTCAGGTGATTTATCAGGTGATCACTCTAGGGTGAATGATCCCCACAGGCTTCAGGGCAGTCATGTCCAGGTGATGGGCCAGAAGAGGCTCTCCTCAGCCTCAGGATGTGCCTGTCAGATCCACCCATGGGGACAGACTCAGAAATCACTCTCCCAGACCCAACTGTGAGGTTGCATCTGGACACTGGTGTGTTTGTAGCAAGCAGGCATCCCTAGGGAAACACATGGGTGAGCAGAGCATTGGAGAGGTGTTTTTTTCCCTTTACCTTTGCTGGTGGCAGTATGAAACGTGCAGTTTTGAAGCCCTCCTCTGCCTGTGGAGGAGAAAAGCACGTTAAATCTCAAGTGATTTGCTCAGGTCCCACATTGCTCCTGATAGCTGTGCTTGCCTTTGCTCATCTGTGAGAAAATCAGCCCAGAGCATCCCAAAAGCAAGAGTTTAATCCTGGGAAGCTTACACCAAGACTCCTGCTGCAAGACCCCTTTGTCCTGATGGCATCAGGGCCTGGCCCTGGCCATGCAGGCTCTGGGTTTTGTTTCTTTTTTTTATCTAGAAGAAAATCTCTCTCTCCTAACACTGCAAATCAAGAGCAGGTGATGCTGTCCCCTCCATCTCGCACCTCCTGGGCAGCTCTCCTCACTGGGCTGCTGCCCTGAGGTTACCCACAAGCCCTGCATCCCAAGCAACGCTTGCAGCCCTCACTCAGGCTTGGCTGACCAGCCAGCTCCTTTTATGTTGAGGTTTGTTTTCCTCTCTTCCAGAAAGAGGTTGAAGAAGATCAGTGAAACTATGTAGCATGGATTTTATTGCGTTCCAGCCTCTTGATTTATTTTTTCTTTTTTTTTTTTTCCTTTGAATGTTCCAACACTCTCTGGCCCTAATTCAAACCTTCAACATCTGCTGCTCCTTGACTCTTGCAACATGGCTTTGGCTTTCAGCATCAGCTCGCCCTGCCTCCCCAGCCCTGATGCTGCACCCTAGCATCCCCCACAGCCCTTATCTGCCTCCTCACCCTGACAAACCCCGGCATGAATGCATGGCTGTCAGGGGCTCCCCTTGCCCTCCTCACCTTGCTGGATCTGCAGCTCCACAAAGCCGTGAGCAACCTGCAGGGTGTGGGGTTTGCCGTGCTCCCGCCTGGCCTCCACAGCGTAGCAGCAGTAATTCCCACTGTCCTGCAGCGTCAGGTTCATCACCACAATGTGAAAGGCACCATGGTGGTCTGGGACAAACTCCACCCCATGATGGCTGGCTTGCCCCCCAGCAGGGGATTTTTGGGTGCCATTGCCTGGCAGCTCATGGTGCCTGCCCAGGTCATGGTGTAGCTCCTTCTCAGTGACGTTGCGGATGTGCTTCTTCTCAGAACAGCTCTGGTCACCGTTGCCGCTGAAGTACCAGGTTTTGTAGAGCAGGTCATGGCGGTCAGCAAGGGGACCACTGATCCGGCAGGTCAGGGTGACATTCTGGCCCTCAGGGCAGATGCACAGTGAATATGGGGTGGTAATGAGAAAAGCTGCTGGTCCTCCTGCCAGGAAGAAAGCACAGCAGATGCGTCAGACCCTACAGTCCTGGGTTTACTCTCGGTTCGTAGCACAATGGGGATCCTTCCCCAGACACGCGCTGCAAACCCATCACCTATGTTGGCAGAGGGATGGCTAGGGGCTGCAGAGAGCAATCAGCATCAACACTAGCCTGCAGGCAGAGGGAAAAAAAATTCACCTATGCCCTTAGGGCAAAAAAACTCATGAGCCCCCCATATCCCAAGACAAGGGAGGTGGGAAGCACAGTGTGAGCCCTTTGCTTGCTCTGTAGCAACATCCCAGCAGGGCTGGGAGCAAAACTTCACCCTAGAAATACACCCTGAGAGAGAGGCATGCTTTAGATGTACCTGAGCATCAGCCTTATAATAGCAGCAGAAGTTCACCCAGGGCTGGCAGAGGTGTGGGGCAGGGAAGCAGGTAAGGGGCACCAGAACCTCTGCAAATCATGCAAAGGATGAGGAGCTAGGCAACAGGGCACAGCTCGTGAATGAGGAAATACAAATGCTGCTGAGCCAGCTGCTAAGGAAAAATAAAAGAGGGGGAGAAAATACAAAAGAAAACAGCGCAGAGGAGCTCATCCCCCGCCCCGAGATCAGGCAGGGAGCAGGTCCCACCCTGCTTGTTTTTCAGCCCTCGGGAGGAGAAGGGGGAACTGGCCAATGCTGACTGTGAGGAGCTGCTTGAAAACGAAAACAACTTGCAGAAAGAAATCCCTGACCGCTGCTGGCTGTGAAACACAGGCAGGAGGCCTGGCAGAGACACAGCAGCCAGGGGCTTACTGGTCCCATCCCAGCATGCTGGTGGAGGGTACTGGTGGGTAAGGGAAGCTGCTCATCAGGCAAGAGAAAAAAGCAAAGACAGGCACGTCTTTGGTGCTCTGGCCCCACCACTGCTTTGTGTTCGCAGAAATGCAAACATCACTTTCAAAAGCTGAAGTAGAAGCAGATTCTGGGTTCATTTTCTTTAAAGTATTGGGAAAACACTGTTCCTGGAGCTGGTTTGCAACAGAGAAGATGGTATGAAGCAAATGTTCTTTATTTTGGTAACATCCTGTCGTGCCATTAGCTCCGCCACTGTTTCGCTTTGAGGTTTTTCACTTGCTATACTGAGCGGGCATCAATCACAGGCAGGGTGTGCTGTGCCCGCCTTGCAAGCCATCCAGCTGGGTGAGAGGCTCCCCATCACCGGGCTGCCAGGAGAGCATCCTCCTCAGGGCAGGGTCACCGTGTCACCGCCCAGCACAGGGCTCTGCTTGAGAGAATGAAACTGAAAACGTCCCCCATGACTTCCACCTCTCGTGGATATTTATGGGTGTTAGGGTGACGGTATAAGGACAGCTGTGAAGGCTCAGAGTCCCAGCAGCCTACCTGAGGGTGCTTTGCAGAGAGAGGGTGCTGTGAGGATGGCATCTGCCCCATCAGACCCCCCTGGTCTGCAGCATAGGGTGCCGAGGAGGCCTCCGGAGCTGAGGACAGTGTGACATTTGCCAAATTGCTCCAGCTAATCACACTGGCTTCCTGCAGGCACCTCAGCCTGCTCCCCGTGGTGCATGCAGCAGGATATCCCCAGGGCTGTGCTGGGGCAGAGGTTTGTGTGGCCTGAGCTCAACACTGCCTAGTTTGTGCCTGTTTTCAAGCCCCAGCTGCTCCTCATCCTCGGATGCTTCTGGGGCCAGGATGCTTGACTAGGCTGGCTGTGTTTTGGCACACAGCAGAGGGGGTCCCCCACCTCCTTGCCGGTGCACTGAGCACAAAAGGCACCTCAGATGTGTTTCTCAATACCTGCCACAACGGGAAGTGCCCCATTCACTTCGGGGTTCCCCAGGGAGCCAGAGGAAGGGAAGCCAGGGATCTATTGGAGGAAGCCACACTTCCAACACCTTGCAGAAGTATCTGCAGGAGTCTCTGTTTTCCCCACACCCCCTCAAATAAAGCGGGGCCATCCCATGCATCCCCACACAGCCTGCAAACCTATGCCTCACTGAACCATCCAGCCTCCACCTCTGGGGCTTGATAGGAACAGTCCGGATAGAAAGTCACCACAGCCCACGCTTTTGGCAGCGGAGCCCTGCCACGGGGCGGGGCAGAGGTTAACCACGTGTGCGAAGCTTTCAGCATTACCGACTTCCCTTCCTTCTCCCAGGCAGGGGAAGGCTTCCAAAAGACGTCAAGCGGAGGAGAAAGCAGCTGGGAGAGGAGAGCTGGCAAGGAACAGTTTGCCCCATAGCAGTGCCAGGGGGGTTGCTCCATCCCCAAGATGTAAAGAGGCTTTAAAGCTGTGCTAGATGCCAGATGGTACCCAGAGGAAATACCTTCCATCAGCATCTTTGCACTAAAATTCATGGATCTTAATCTCCCCTGGGGTGCTGTGGATTTCTTCCATGCCCAGACCCCAGGTCTGGCTCCATCCCATCCTAGTTGCACCATTCCATTTGAAGTCAGTGCTGCTGGCAAATGCCAAAATAAAGTCAGATGCCCGTCACTGCACATCTCCAGCTGAGAGAGCCTGGACCCATCAAAGTCCAAGCAGAGAGCTGTTGTCTTGCCACCATCTGGTAAAGACAGAGGAGGGCTCAAGTGGGTGCCAAAAGTGCCCCCCTTCCTCCTTGGCACCTCAGTGTCTTTGGCTCTTAGCTGCAGCATTGCATCGATGCAGCATGGAGCCTGGTGCAGCTCTGGTACATGCCCAGTGCCAGCATCACTGCCTAGCTTGAAACCTGTAAACTCTCCTTCCAGAGAAAATGAAGTGCAAAAGAAGTGCTAATGCCAAAGAACCTGTGTTGCTCTGCCAGCCAACAGCTTAAATAAAACAGGATTTTATGCCAAATTCCGGGTTTGGTGACCAAAACCCTCTCCTGGCCTCTTCTCCTGACTTTGGTCCCCTGCTCTGAGAAGCAGGTGGTTGATTTACACTCCTGTGACTTACAGAAGTGATTTCCACATTATGCCACCTCTTTCCACTCCAGGGAAATCTGGGTTGGAGGGCTGCAGCCTCTGGGGGAGCTCAACCACAGCAGTGGAAGGGGCTGTCAGATTGAGAGTGACTGCTCAGCATCAAAGTGAGTAACCCAGCTTTAATTCCCCCTGTGGGAGCTTTCCTAACAGCCTCACATGAAAATGCCACAAGGTGTCATTATGTTTCGGAGTTATCAGCCAGGTGAGATCTGCAGGGGCATCCATACCTCAGCACAAGTACTTAGAGCAGGAAAGAAAAAGGAGAAAAGACTTACTGAAGATGCTTGAGACACCTGTATGAACGGCTCTCATCTCCTGTACCTGAAGGAGCCAAATGGCTTTTTTCCTGCAGAGCTGCACCCTGGGTGCATCATCCAGGTTACGGGGAGAGCAGTCTGGAGCTACTTGCACTCACTGGAGGGTCCTACCTTGCTCCTCTTCCAGCACGGCTTGGCTCAGGGATGGGATCACAATGCTGAAATGCGGTTTTGGAAAGCCAGGCTCAGCTGTCATCCTTTGGGTGGAGAGGTGCTACCCACCTACCTGCCAGCGTCCCCAAACCACATAGGAGCTGGATGCCTCCAAGGACTCTTATTTCTCCATCAAGCCCTACTAAAATTAGCTGGGGGTTCAGAAAGTTTTGGTAGGCACAGAGTTGCACAAAGCTCAGTAACTCTGGCACCAAGCTCATGTTGAACATCAGAGTCTGAGGTGGGTGCTTTGCAGAAGGCTTGATGTTCAGTCGCAGCACCCTACATGGATAAATGAAATAATCCAAAGCCCCACACTGATGCTGAAAATCGCTCCTGGATGTTGAGAGATGCTCAAATGAGATGCAAAGCAAGTCCACACTAGCCTTGCTGTCCCAGAGGAGAAGGGGCAGTGGGGGTATCATTTCTTCCCGAGGATGTGCTGACAGAAATCCTGGAGGTGATCACTTTGTCATCCCAGGGCAGAAGGAGAAGCCAAGCCCAAGAGGATGCTCATCCCCTGCTTGCGCAGGGCAGGGTGAGACCACAGTGCTTCCCAGCTTCATTCTCTGCTCCTTCGTCCACAGATGAACTGCAGTTTTAACTGCCACCGCCCCTGTTCCACTGTCCAGCCCCGGAGCCCCGCTACGGAAACGCTGTCCCCCAGGGCTGGTGCAGAGTCAGGCGTGGAGCATCCCTTTCACAGCGGCGCGCCCGGGGAGCACCGCCGTGCCGGGGCAAGCTCCCTCAGGAGGGGGGCGGCACTGCCAGCTCGGAGTCCCCAGCGGGCGGCTGGCGGGGACAGGGGAATGGCTGCTTTCCTTCCACACATGTTAGATCAAAGCAAAGGAAAGCGGGGGAAAAAAACAGTCCCAGAGTTTTAAAGCAGCAGCTCCCCTGTGGCCCCTAACCCCCGACACAACTTATCGTGTGAAAGGCTGGCTGGACCTCCCCCCCCACTTTCCAGCCCACAGTTACAGGCTGCTAAAGCAAATAACCCACCAAACGCCCGAAACTCCTTGTGCCGAGGCACAGCCCTGTCCAGGCGAGCGCGGCAAGGAAAGTTTCGCTGGGCGGGGAGGCGAGGAAAGCAGCAAACTGGAGCTTACCGTGGGAAGCGAGCAGGCAGAGGGCGACGAGCAGCAGCCCGAGCCTGGGGGCTGCCGACTCCATCGCGGCTGGGGCCGGGGATCGCTCGGCTCCGCGGAGCCGCCCGCTCTGAGCAGCCCCGCAGCGCCGGCAGGGCTGGCACACACAGGAAATTTCATTGAGACTCTGCGCGCAGCCCTGCGGAGAGCTGCGAGCACCCCCAGGAGGTGAGATGCTGCAGGGCCCAGCGGCGGGGGGGAACACTTCAGTCCCAGCCGCTTGGGTTGCAGCGGGTGAGTCTGCCGGGGTTTTAATTACAGAGTCGGAGGGGGTAGCTTAGAGCAAGCTCGTCTCCTGCATGCGTTTTCGGGGTGCACAGGAGGTAGCTGAGAAGGATGCTCACCGTGTCGGACACATGTAGGTGCTCAGCCAGGAGGGGCTGGGTGCTGGTCCCCATCCATTTCCCGGTGGGAGCCGGTCCCCTGGGGGCAGTCTCCAGCTCACTTCATTAAAGTGCACTTTGCTTGTAACTAGAGTTTTTCTGTGTTTGTGAGGGCAGAAACCCTCCTGGGATGACGGGAAGGCAGGTACAGGGAAGGGTAACTCAGAGAGGTTAGGGGGAAGAGAACAGAGTTTTGCAGTAAAAAGGGGAGCAAAGCATCCCCCTCCTGCAGCCTGCTTACACAGGGGGAGGCTTTTACTCTGCCCTCAAATTGCAAAGCAGCACTGATTAACAAAGGAGCACTGTGGGCTGATACACAGAGCTGAGCTTCGAATTCAGAAGGCACCAAAAAATCTCCATCTGCAGCTAAGGGCCAGTTCTTTTCAAAACAGTGTTCCCTGGAAAGTGGAGCCTGGAGACACATGGAGGTTTGCAAGCCACAGGAAGCTTTGCTTCTAACCTCCTCTGAATTTGGAGCATGCCATGAAATAGAAAAGTAGCTAATTACTGCGTGGCTTTGTGGCTTTTACAGCAAACAAATTTGTGATGCTTTTGCCAAAAACGTAACCCTTGTCTAGCTGGAAGAAATGTGTTGCTGGAGAACATGTAGGCACAAAGTCCAGACACTCCAAATTGTATGTCATCCTGAGATCCCATATCTAACCTGAGCCCTTAGGCAGGGTGGCATGCTTTTGTTACCTCTCTGTCCCCAGGTGTGCCGCCATAGTGACACATCCAGAAGACAGACTTCACTGCCTATGCAGGGCCAGATACAGCTGGAACAGGGTCAGGACAGGCTGAGGCTGACCAGCAGTGAAACTGTGGTCAGCAGGTAGATGACAGGGCCTGCAAGAGGTCAGTCTGGTTGTCCAAAATGTTCATTTTTGTTCCTCCCCATAGCCATGGCAGCAACCTTTCTGGGTATTTTCCTTCTTACCGTGTTGCCATAATCAGTAACAACAACCAAGGTGTCCCTAATGTCAAAATGAGGACTCATCATGCCTCCTCCAAAGGCAGTGAGGCATGATAGGGTTCAGCCTCTGGCTTTCCGTCTGCCGTGGGCTACTCCCAGTTGTTACCAGCAATGGTAATAACTGGGTGAAAAGGAGAGAGATTCTACAGAGACATGCTTTGCTTGGGAGCAAGGGTGTGATCTAATCTCTGTATGTTTATCCCTGTACCAAAGGTACCTGTACCAATGGCACATTTCATTTTGAGCCCTGCATCCTGTTCGTGTCTCTTAGCAGGGTTGAACCCATGTTGGTCATTGACCTTGACAGATCCCGCCTTCCCAGCCAGCTCCAAGTATTGCAGTGCTTAATGTGATGTTCCCATATTCCACAGGCTACCACAACAGTGTACGTCACCGTGCTGGATGAGAATGACAACGCACCCACTTTCCAGCAGCAGCTCTATGAGGTGACCCTTGATGAAGGCCCCTCCACGCTCAATGCCACGCTCATCACTGTGCAGGCCCTGGACCAGGACGAAGGACCCAATGGCACAGTTACATACACCATCACTGAAGGCAACATCTTGGACACTTTCCAGATCGACAGTGCCACGGTCAGTAAGGTAGCCAGCCCCATCCTGGACATATCCCTGTCCCACTCCCTTCACTCCTGGCCGCTGTCCCCTTGCCTTACAGGGGCAGATTCGCACAGTGAAGGAGCTGGACTATGAGATCAGCCATGGGCGCTACACCTTGATTGTCACTGCCACTGACCAGTGCCCCATCATCTCACGACGGCTGACATCGACCGCCACGGTAAGGACTTGCCAGCAGGATAGCAACACCACAGCCTCGGCAGGGTTGAGGAGCTCTTCATGTGAGCAGTTTCACATTTCCTTCCCAGTGGTCACCAGTTGTTTTTCCCAGCTGCAGCCAGTTTGCCCAGCTGCTGTCACTCCCTCATGGTGAGTTGCAGGCATGCAGGCAACGGACGCTCCTGAGTAAATTAGCCCAATTATTTCATCCTGCAAACACACAAATAGGAGAAATTCCCCAAACTGCTTTTAAGCTGCATTGTGTTTTCTCGGACCTTCTTGCATGAATGGACAGTAGATAGTACAGCATTGCCATTGCATTAAGTTCTGTTTCGTCTTTAGCTTCTCAGATTATTTATCTGCTTTTAAAAATCCTTTTTCGTTCCTCTAGCCCTTTTTTTTTTGTTGATTTTCACTATAACTCTTCCATTTTTTCTGGACCATGGTGCTCAAAGTGTGGGGAGCTCAGACTAACAGGTGCAAAACACATGTTTTGCAGGAATTGAATAAACCGATTTCGTGGTTGGTTGGGTTGTTTTTTTTTGTGTTTTTGTGACCAAAACCAAAATGTGACGGGTTGTATGGCAAATGTTGTCCATGCCTAGATTGATTTGGGGGTCTTCAGGTGGAAGGGATAGGTTAGATTTTCTATCTGGCTCTCTATTATGGACCGTTATACCTCACCCAGATATTAAGCTAAGCTCAAATAAGGAGATAGGTTCTCGAAAGGAGATCATAAGTTCTTGTGTGTGAAGGAAAAAAAAGAGAAACACTTTTTCTCACTTCTAAAGGGAGATGCCAGTGTGGCAGATTTCCATGGATAAAGTCCCCACAAGTCAGGCAGCGCTGTGCTCCAGTCTGGGCAGATGGGAAGCCTTCAGATTTGTGCATCTGATGCTGCTGGAGATACGTTCCTGGCCCAGGGAAACTGCAGTAGAAACCTTGAGACCTGGGGTGTAACTGCCGACAGGAGCAGCAGCAGCTGATGATGTGCTGAAGGCAAAGGCAGAGCTTTCCCTGCTCTTGGCCCAAGAAAAGACATGAACTTGGAAACCCCTTGAGCAACAAGTACTGAAGCTGGAAGGGATAGGAAGCACCCTCCCTACACAGCCCAGGGAGTTTGTGCCAGCACCATATGAAAACATAGCTTTTAGGAGGAGGTTTGGTGATTGTTTAAGATCCCAAGTGATGAGAAATCCATCACCCTGATAAGGCATGCCAGTGTTTGTTTGTTCCACTGCTAGGAAACAGCAGAGACTCAGATATACTCTGCTGTAAATATTAGATTTAGCCAGTAACAAATGCCCATCTGAAGGATTTAACTATCCTTTAACTCAGGAGGTCAGAAAGTTCTTAATTTCCAATATCTTTCTTGTAACCACCAAAGCTCAGCCTTTTATTAGCCACTGGATACTCTCGCTCTCAGGCAGCATTTCTCCACTGTATAAGTTCCCTGAAACAAAATGGATAACCCTCTTTGCAATGCAGTATAATATAGAGCTATATATTATCTTCTATGTAGTGCGACTCAGCTAAAAAGCAAGGCTCAAGTTCATTGGATCCCCAGCTTCACCAGCAGGTCTACTCTGTCCTAAAATTTTTTATACTTTCTCCTTCTGAGATCTGTAGCATTGATTTATAGCCAACTAAGTGTGTCATAGGAAGGGATGCTAAGCAGGGAAACATGCCAGCTGCGTTGGTGGTGGTTTGTGTTGGAATATGGATGCAAGCTGGAAATCTTTTGAAGTTTACTCAGCACTAGGAATGAAGCCCTTGGTGGAAGAAAGAGAGTGAGCAAGTGTGCAGCTGGCTGCAGAGGTTGGGTCTCTCTGAACTCATGGCTTTGGTGATCAGATCTGTGTCTGTGGTTTTTCTCTATCCAGTCTGGGTTTTGGGATGCGGATATTGAGAACATTTGGCTTTTGTGTTGACTTCTCCATCGTGGTTGAAAAGGGCCCCACCTGTGTGCAGCTGGAGTTTCATAATGTCACTGTAGGAAGGGCATAATCAGGAATGAGGAGTAACTGAATCTGAGTTGTTCTCGAGGACTGTGAGTTGGGTGTTTGGTGAACCCAGCAAAGCCAGAAATACAGGAAGTATTTTGCAGTGTCACCTGTCCATGGTTTCCCATGCTCCTGACCAGCAGTCTCTTCCATCGCTCTCCCCTCAGTGCCCTCCATGCTCTCCCCCTGACTGCAGGTGCTGGTGAACCTCAATGACATCAATGACAACTGTCCCACTTTCCCACGGCCCTACGAGGGTCCCTTTGATGTCACGGAGGGGCAGCCCGGCCCACGCGTCTGGACCTTCCTGGCCCACGACGGTGACTCGGGACCCAGCGGGCAAGTGGAGTACAGCATCATCGCCGGGGACCCCCTCGGTGAGTGGGGACATGTGGTACCACCACTCCTCTGGCTGCCCCATGGAGGAACCTGGCTTGTGGGAGCGAGGGCGGAAGTGTTTCAGCAAAGCCATCCTCCCTCCCAGCGCTTCTGCAGATTCAGCCTTTCAACACCAGGAAATCCTATTTTGAGCAACAGGAAACTTAACCTGTTTGTGGCCGGACAGGGGTTGGCCGGGGCTTGTGCAAGGGAGGGGGAAATCTGCTGAACAATAAAGGCAAACAAAATTTAAAAGGCAAAAATGCAGAAAAAGAAACTGAGCTGGAAGTGCACAGCCCTGTCCCCTCACTCCTGCGGGGTTTGCAGGGTGTTTGAGCATTGAGTTGCTTTGTAACCCCTGGCGAAGCTGTAGCTCCATGCACACCAGCACCCCAGAGGAGGTGGCAGCATAGCCATGGGCATCCCTGGCCATGGGGACATAGGGCTGTCCCTCTGTAAGCAGGTGATGACTTTAGCCCAAGGTGTCTGGAAGGCAGAGGCCAGTCTCATCTCCCACCTGACCCAGCTGCAAAGCTTTCCAGAACAACCAGGACACAACCCCTTGGCTTGGGGCAGTCCATGCCATGTAGCCCACCCTGCTGTGGCC